CAGGTAAAGATGCAATCTCGGCGAAATAGAAAACTGATAACAGCGATATCAATGACTGCACTCATTCCAATAAAATAAGGAAGTATGCGAGAAGCGATTTTTTTTTTTTTACGATCAATTAACACGTTCCTGCGGAGGGAGCTGGTAGGAACGTTGGGTTGCTCGGTCAATGGCCAGGGTCAACGGCGGCGTGGTGTATTCCGCAAATATGCCCGACTGTGAGGGCGGGCACAAGCCGGCGTGAGTAGGTTATACGTTGAGGTTTATAAGGGCACCACGGGGTGAGCAGCCCCTCCCCACCCTCCCCTTTCCACCCAGCCCCACCCCTCCCATTTTTGGATGCACAATGGACGGACACAATAATCCCCTGTGGGCTGGTGGAACCAGGAGGTTCCCACCAGTATGATTTCTCTACCCTGCGTATGTTCATCTAATTAATGCGTTCTTCGTGTATCTTACATATGTTGTCGTCATTGCATCACGCGGCTACGAAGAAGAGTCACTGCCCCAAACGTCGCCAACTGCTCCGATACTTGTGGCATAGCGCTTGTACTGTTCAGCCTTTGGCGTTCTCTGGTCTGACACTGATGAGACAAAGCCATAGAGACGGCTGTCTCTGGTGTAGGCCTATCAGTTTCAAAGGCAATGCCATGTATATGATATTATCAGAGCATGTTTTCGTTGCATGTTGCTAATGGTTTCTACAGTAAATCCTTGGATTGCGAGCATAATTCGTTCCGGGAAACGTGTTTGTAATCCAAAGCACTCGTATGTCAAAGTACTCGCATGTCAGTTGTGATCACGTGACGCTCGGCAGACAAAGCGTATGCACGCGCCACTCGTTTTGCAGGACCTCGCTCGTTTATCAAATTAATATTCATTAAAAAAACGGACTGAAGGAAGGAAGGATGGGACGTACGGAAAGGTTTGAAGGAAGGATGAGATGGACGGAAGGAAGGATGGGATGGACGGGAAGGTTTGAAGGAAGGATGAGATGGACGGAAGGAAGGATGGGACTGATGGAAGGAACAAATGGAGGAAGGACTGATGGATGGATGGGCGGAAAGATGGACGGACCGCCCCCCGTGCATTCGCTTTCAGGAACTCGACAAATGCATCGCGTGCCACAAACACTGTGGCGCACGCGCGCCCTCTCTTTGTGTCCCGTTTCAATCCCAGCCAGATTCTCAGTGCTCCCATAACCCCAGGGGGGGTGTGGGGAGGGGTGTGTGTGGGGAGGGGTGTGTGTGGGGAGGGGTGTGTGTGGGGAGCGGTGGTGTAGCGGTTAGCGCGCTGCACTACGAACTTGGCGACCCGGGTTCGATTCCCGCTCACGGCCAACACCAGTGACGATTATCTGAACCGGTCCTGGGCCTCCCCTAGGTCGACTCAGCCTCAAATGAGTACCTGGTGCGGTGTGTAAACATCGCCGCTCGGGAGACAAAGGCGGTCGGGCGTGGTGCTGGCCACCCACCCCCTCGTGTACCGTTCCGGCATTCATAGGTGCTCGCTAATAACACTTGCCCCTACAGTCTGTTAAGGCTATACGGGGGATCTTTGTCTTTGTGTGGGGAGGGGTGTGTGTGGGGAGGGGGGTGTGTGGGTGGGGGGGTGTGCGTGGGGAGGGGTGTGCGTGGGGAGGGGTGTGCGTGTGTGGGGGGGCTATGTGTGTGGGGGGGCTATTTCGGGCAAAGGAAGGTGGGGCTCCCCTCTTCCTGTGCCCGAGTTGAGTGTTTATCGCCGTTTAGTAAATGCCCTCGCGGCCCCAGTGAGAGCCGAACGAGGGGGGACCATAACTGGTCAGTGAATTTCATCCCCCGCTCTAAAGCGTCCGTTTTTTATTTTTGCGCGTTGCCGGCACGGAGTTGCCCGCTCGCACCGACTGCTGGCCACAGAGGGCCCCCCCCCCGCTCCCCCCCCCGCTCCCCCCCCTCCGCTCCCCCCCCCTCTCCCCCCCCCGCTCCCCCCCCCCACCTCCGCTAGTCGCGTGCGGCCGTCGGTCACTGCGTGCCGATCCCAATCGAGTCCGTTTCTTAACGTGGTTTAGATTGATAATTGTTTTTTGACCCTTTTATCTGGCAACATAACTGACACCTTTTTTTTACAAGGAGTCATGTTTGCATAGACCACAATACCTGCAGTCATAATGCAATACAAGAAACATAACTCTGGTAATGTATGCACTGTCCTTGAAGTTGATTTACTGGCAAATGAGGTTCCAATGGTGTAAATGCTTACCCCGAGCTCTCATACTCTGATGGTGCGTTGTCTTTGAGTTGTGCACCTTTTGGCGTCATCTGGTCCAACACCATGTGAGACGAGGCTCTAAGGAAAGCTGTCTCGGGTGTGGACCAATCAACTTCAAGGACAGTGCATACATTATCAGAGTTCTGTTTTTTGTTTGCATTATGACTGCAGGTATTGTGGTCTATGCAAACATGACTCCTTGTAAAAAAAAGGTGTCAGTTTTGTTGCCAGATAGAAGGGTAAAAAAACAATTATCATATTTTTTACTGGCAAATGAGGTTCCAATGGTGGTTTATAATTTTTTCTAAGCGGCTCTTTTCGGTTGATGTCACGGGTTATCTTGATGACGTCCACCGCAAAGCGGATGACGTTGAATTGTACGAGTGCACGCGTACGTAGGCAGTACGTTCAGCTTGTTCTTTCGCGCACCGTAAGTAGGCAAACGTGCTTAGTCAGGAGGCGCGGGGGGAAGGACCGCAATTGAAAACGCAAAAAAAATGAGTTTGTCAATCTCGATGATGATGGTTTAAAAGTGGCATGGCTCCCAGTGGCTTCCTCACATTGGGAGGAAGGTGCGTTCCAGACGGCCGCAAGAAGCGCGTCTGGAAGCGCCGTGCGATGCGGTGACCGCCAGTTTTTCGATGGCCGAGCTAAAAGTGGTTACTACAGCTGTGGTCATTAACCAGAGCTGGTATTAACCAGGGCTGCCTGCCGCATTCGAACCTCGAAGCCCTGCAACGCGCTGTGCCTACCACTGGCCCCCCCGATAACTATTCAATAAACAACAAAAGATGAGCCCTTGATATTGATTTCCACGGTGGGCTCTGTGAGATGGTAGTGATTTTCTTTTTCTATCAGTCCCTTCTTAAAAAGTGCAAACTCGGCGGATGTGAACCAACGCTGCACCACGCAAACGTGGATGCATCACTTTCGACATTGTAGAGGTAAATCATTAATGAGCCACGCACATTTACATTTTATATTAAAATGAAATAGATATATATAATTAAAAAGTAACGATTTTTTCAAGTTCATAAATTGTTAATAACTGCGCATGCGATGTCCGGAACGGTACAATACAAGGTGCCAGTTTTTGGGATCTACGTTGCGTCTGTGTGCGAGGGAAAATCTGCAGAGCCGTGGACGTGATTATTTTACAGAGAGATGCTTCGGGTCTTCTCGGGTGCGACCTGTGGGTCTTCACGCGAGCCTGCGGGTCCGTGCGTGCGTCGATGCGACTGCAGCGCAGCGCGATTCAACATCGCGGTGTCTCGATGCGACCGCGTCTCCCGGCGCCGTCCCGACACGGGGGGGCGGGGAATGTTTCCTTTGTATTGAGAGCAGAGGTCGCAAACGGGTTTTGATTTTTTTACCCGTACCCGGCCGCACCAGGGTCGCAAACGGGTACCCGTACCCGGCCGTACCCGTACCCTACACCTGTACCCGGCCGGGTACGGGTATCGGGTACCTGATTGCGACCTCTGGGATGAATTAATGTTGCAGGCGCGGGTGGGTTGATTCTAGGAACTTGAATTGTGCGAAGAGACAAGACGTTGGGAAATGAGTGACAAACAGTTACTCACCAGTGACTCGCGGCCTACCCGTACCCGGCCGCACCAGGGTCGCAAACGGGTACCCGTACCCGGCTGGGTAGGGGTAGCCGGGTATCGGGTACCCGGTTGCGACCTCTGATTGAGAGGCAGTCGGTCGCGAACGGAGAGAGGACGAGGGATGGTTCGTCAGTCTCGGCCTGAACGGGGGCAGGGAGTCGGCAGCACGGTGGGCTGCGGGAAGGGTGTTTCAGACTGTGGGGGCAGCAGAGGAGAATGAGCGACCTCCCAATGAGAAACGGTTGGGTGGTGGCTTCGATAGAACGCCTCGGTTGCTGGAGCGGAGAGCGCGTGGAAGGGATTGGAGTGAGATGAGAGGTGGTAGAGTGTGTGGAGGGGGGAGTTGAGTGAGATGAGAGGGTAGCGGTAGGCAAGGGGGTGAGTTCATGGGAAGGATTCTGAAAGACCGGTGAGTGTGATCTTGATATTGATCTGGGATTGGTTTTGGAAGTCAGCGGGGGGAGGGTTAGAAGCAATCGGGGTGACGTGCTCTCAGATTCGAGGTGTGGGTGAAAAGTCTGGCGGCAGCAGCATCGCTTCGGATGGTGCGGGTAACATTTTTAATCGTGGCACCACACAATCTCTCACACCGTATCTTTGCTGAATAGAGCCTTACTCTTTGGTTCTTTCGGTAAAGTCACGTAGGTAGAAATAAACCAAAATTAATCACGATAAGCAGCACGATGTCTGCTCGCAGCAGACAATCGCGGCTATCGCGATTTTCACCTGAAGACGGGCGCTTGTGTTGCGTTCGAAACGTCGTGATTTATTTTGTTTTATTTCGATTTAAAGCTTTCGTGACTGCAGGGATTCATCTTCTTGGTTCTTTCGGTAAAGTCACGTAGAATGGAAATAATAAAATAATAAAAATGATTCTCGCGACGTTCCGGCCACAACGCAAGCAGCCGTCCTCAGGTGGAGAGCAGGTCTGTCGAGAAGACAGCGTCTGAATGACACACCCCAGGCTTGGAGCGACTATTTAAGGTATATATTTTGTTTTATTTCTACCTACGTGACTTTACCGAAAGAACCAAGAAGATGAATCCCTGCGGTCACGAAAGCTTCAATTCAAGATGGAATAAAGCCTCTTACCGAGATATAACCGCGGCCCCTCCGTCCCTCCCTCTGTCCGTCTGCCGGCAGTTGCCCGTTCCTGGCGGAGAACCTGAACCCCGCGGTGCCGGCGGTCGGCGCGGCCCTCTTCATCTTCGTCATGTGCAGCCTCCTGCGCACGAGCTTCAGCGACCCCGGCGTCCTGCCCCGAGCGGCCGCAGACGAAGCGGCCGACCTGGAGAAGCAGATCCTCGGCTCGGACGGTAAAGCGCCCCCCTCCAATCCCCCCGTGATCATTGCCGGCAAACCGCCAGCGAGTTACGGTAGCTCGCCGTGCCAACGGAACGGAGCGACGCGAGTTCTTTTGCGGTTCACGGTTGGCTATATGAGATGTTAACAGCTACATAGTTCAGTGGGGCCTTACGTGCTAAAATAAAAAATAGTTTAGTTTTTAATCGTAATCGCCCATCAACATTACCCACGATCAACATCATCATCGTCACATGTAAGTCATTTCACAACAAGTCTTAATGAATCGTGCAAATACGTGGATTATGTGACGCTTTTCCACAATCGTCGGTTGCCTTCAAGTATTTAATTAGCAAGTGCGTAGGCCTTCGTGATCAATATCATCCATAATACAGTTTTTTTTTTGGGGTTAGATCGTGTAAATATATAAATGTGTCATTTAACCCACCACCACCCGACACAGCCAACTAGTAAGGTTTGTCACGTAAACAGAGCGTGCCAATTCGTCACTAGTACAGCACTAGTGTGTGGTGTAGTGTATAGTGTAGTATACTAGTACAGCACTAGTGTGTAGTGTATAGTAGTGTATAGTGTAGTGTATATTGTAGTGTACTAGTACAGCACACCGGTTGTGTGTTGGAGAGCCAAGCCACAACATTTACAATCTGAGTATCTACTTACGTATTGGCAATCTCCTAATGCATTTCCGTTTTTAGCTCTGGCTCGTTTCTGCAATACTGTGAGCATGCGTTTCGCTCAATTTGTCCGATTTCCCGGTTCAGGCACAGTCGCGGATATCAACCGCAGCCGTTGCGCGCGAGGGGGTTTCCTTCGTCACGGCGCCACCTCTCCGAGTGGCGGAGGGGTGCGTGCCTCCGTTGCGGGGAGGGGCGAGAACGGCGGCGGCGAGCGAGAAATTGCGCTACGCCGCTGGCAGCCAGCCTCGGGGACCGGACGCGTTCGGGAAGTGAAATCCCGACGCGTGGTCGTTGTGCCACCGGTGGCGCGGCAACCTCCTCGCGCTGACGAGGCCTACGGACGAAATGCCTCTTGCAAATGTTCAACTTTTTTGATCGCGATCCACGGCGCTGTCCCCTTCTGCTCGGCGGCGTGGTTTAACCCATCGATCCCTGCCCCCCTTCAACCCCGTGCCCACCCCCCGCCACCCCCCGCCACCCCTACCCCCCTCACCCCCGCAGAGGTGGCGAACGGCGGCAACGCAAACAACTACCGGCCGCCCCCGCGCATGAAGGAGGTGAAAATCAACGGGCAGAACGTGAAGCTCAAGTACTGCCTCACGTGCAAGATATTCCGCCCGCCGCGAGCCTCCCACTGTAGCCTCTGCGACAACTGCGTGGGTGAGCGCTGGGCTGTGTGTGCTGTGAGGGGGGGGGGGGGGGGGGGGGGGTTAGGGGAGGGCGGAGCGAGCGGTTAGCGTTCGAAACGCCACTGCGCTATGAACCCCGCGAGCCGTTTGTTTCCAGATCGTGGCCAGCGTGGCGAGATGTTATCTCCCTCGCCCGGTGTACAGGAGTCCGTGGGTTCGATCCCGACCCTGACGCCTGCTGTTTATATTTGGAGTTTGCATGTCTTTCTCTTTCCCCGTGATCGCGTGGATTTTTCTCCGGGTCCTCCGGTTTTTCCCCTCCACATTTAGAATCAGCATCACCATGCGTTTAGAGTATTTGGCTGCTACAAATTTTTACGTGATGATGATGATGATGATGATAAACTTGGTTGAGCAATCATTTGTTATAGCCAAGTCACTTCTGAAAAATAGCTGCATTAGCACAGAGTGGGCCTTACCTGATCAAATAAAAAAAATAGTTTCGTTTCGTTGACGAATATCTGTACCGTTCCTCGGTCTCGCTGTAGGTTGACTGAGCCTTAAATTTGCGCTAGCTGCCTCCGGCGTGTAAACGTCGGCACTGGGGAGACAAAGGCGGCCTGGCGTGTTGCTGCCGACCCACCCCAATTGCTTGCTGTGCCGTACCGGACTTAATAGGCACTCGCTAACATCACTTTTCCAGCAGTCTGTTGAGGCTTTGCAGGGTATCTTTGATGTTTGTGTATGTGTGCGCACACACAAGGAATGATGTGGATGTATTTACGGGACCCGTTTTTGCCACTATGAAGATGATAAAGAAATAGGAGGCTTATAATACAGGATGTGTTAAGATGTTCCAAGACCAAATCGACACCTTTTTACAAAGCATCAAGTCTGCATTCACGTGAACTGTTAAAGCTTTTGCATTGTCCCTGTACTGGTCACATCTTGGCATCCTTTGGTCTCTAGCACCGGTGGGACACAAAGCCACAAGAGAGAGGGTGATGCAGACTCGATTCCTCGTAATCGGTGTCTGCGTGGCGATGTCAATGTCATTGAACAGTCTTAACGATCGCACCGCCGGTGGTGGTGGTTGTTGTTGTGTGCGCGTGTGTCTCCCGCGTGCGGTGCTGTTCGTGCGCAGAGCACTTCGACCACCACTGCCCCTGGGTGGGCAACTGCGTCGGCAAGAGGAACTACAGATTCTTCTACATGTTCGTCCTCTCCCTGTCGCTCCTCACCGTCTACATCTTCGCGTTCATCATCGTGCACATAGCCCTGCGTGAGTGGCAACCACCACCCCACCACCCACCACCACCACCAACACCGTGCAACCGCACGCGGCTCATTATTCATTTACACGATCCTTTGGTCGCCCCGTGCTCGAAGCCAACTTGCCAACATTGGCTCGGCGAATCGCGGGTCGTTGAACGGCGTAACCCGTCGGGACGAAACGCCCCCCACCCCCCACCCACCCAAAGAGGGTTACGTGCCGGAAGCACTTGGGCCCCTCGCAGGCCTCCCATCGTAGTAGCGATGACGACCGCGAGTAGCCGAAGCCTTCGGTGGCTTTCTAACGTTGCCCGCACTCTTGCTGGGACGACGACGACAACAACAACAACAAATCGATCAACGATGCCACGGATGCCCCCCCCGCCCGCTTGATTTTCCAGACGCGTCCTTCGCTGCCTAAACGCCCGCTGCCATCCCGGGTTTCCTGGAAAATGTTCACGGTTGCCGATGATAGATTTGCTTATTGACTGGATCGACACCCAGGATTCACTTACGGGGCGGGCGCTCGATGTTGCGCCCGTGACCACGTGGTCATAGCAAGGAGGAGAGGCTAGTGAAGGCCGCTTCCTGGGCAATCAAGTTCAAGTTCAAGTTTCATTTATTAGGTATTGCCCCTGTGAGCCATTCGGCTCTTGAATCGGGTGCAACCGCAACAAACAAAAAACAAAAACATGAACAAGAAAACATCTTAAAGTGAATATGTGACTGAGTGCAAACAAAAAATCCAAGAAAAGACAGCAAAATATTGCAGAAAAATCACCGTACACCAACACTGTGTGAAAAAATCCCAGTGGGATGCAAGTCAAACAACAACAACCACAAGACAACTTAGATTAAGACCATCAGTCTAACTCTGTACTACAACAAACAAACATGGCCAAACCGAAAAACTTTTCAAAAATCACCAAAATAAAGCCATAAAAGCAGTGAAACAGTGATGCCCAGGCTCGGTGCGCCTTGAGGCTACTGGGGTGCTCGCAAGCACAACGAGCGGAGCGCCGGGCAGATAAAAACGCAGCACGTTACGGACAGCTGAATTGAACTATTAAAACTGAACTAAGACTATTTGTTATTTTACCAGGTAAGGCCCACTGAGCTCTATAACTCTTTTGCTTAATATACCTAGCCACAAATGATAGCTCAATGAGAAGTGGCTTATGTGAATATTTATACCAGCCTGGCCATCTATAATAAAAGAGCATTATAGCTCATCGGATTCCTCCAGTATAAATGATTCTGATACTCTTAAATGTATATTTATGAATGTCGAGGGTCAAAACTGGAGGACCCGGAGAAAATTGCACGCGACCACGAAAACAGGCAAATTCCAAATATACAGCAGGCGTCAGGGGCCAGGATCGAAACCACGACCTCCTGTGTACCAGGCGAGGTAGTTAACATCTCACCACGGGGAGAGAGAGAGAGACACGCAAACTCCAAATATACAGCAGCAGGCGTCAGGGGCTGGGATCGAACCCACGACCTCCTGTGTACCAGGCGAGGTAGTTAACATCTCCTAGCCACCGTGATGATGATGATGATAATGAGAGAGAGAGACACGCAAACTCAAAATATACAGCAGCAGGCGTCAGGAGTCGGGATCGAACCCACGACCTCCTGTGTACCAGGCGAGGTAGTTAACATCTCCTAGCCACCACGGCGCCTCGTGACTGCAGGGCGAACGGAACCCGAGCTCTCGTTCCAAACAGCGAGACGCAATTGGTGCGGAAATATGACCCGTGAGTAGATTGTGTCGCGTGAAGTGCTGGCTAAATGCGTATTGTTGGAACGGCGCTGTGCGAGGAGGGGGGGGGGGAGCGCCTTTTCTTCCAGAGGGCAGTGTGTGCCTGAGCGTTCCTTTGTGCGCACAAAAAGACAAAGATCCCCCGTATAGCCTTTAACAGATTGTGGGGGCAAGTGCTGTTAGCGAGTAGCACCTATGAAAGGCACGGGACACGAGGGGGTGGGTGGTCAGCACCGTGCCCGGCCGCCTTTGTCTCCCCAGTGGCGATTTTTGCACACCGCACCAGGTACTCGTGTCAGGCTGAGTCGACCTAAAGGAGGCCCGGGACCGGTTCATGTATTCGTCACTGGTGTTTGGCGGTGAGCGGGAATCGAACTCGAGTCCCCGGGTTCGTAGCGCAGCGCGCTAACCACTACCGCTCGACACACAATCACACACGTGTCCTGCATTTACAGGCTGACCCGAAAAGTCAGGAGACACATTCTAAATGAATTCATTTTAACGCCGGCATGAAAGCGTTTTAGTTGTTTGTTCTTTAAGTTAACATTTTATCCACTGCTGTCATTGTTGATATCGATTTTTATTCCTGTGAGTGTCACCTGAAATCGGGGCGCTGACAAAACTCAAATGAATTGGGACAAGGCAACACAATTGAGGAATGTTCGAATTGTGTGTGTACGTTGAACTTTTTCTGCACCGTACGTAGCCAACCGTGCTAATCGGAGGTGCGAGAGGGCGCCATGGTGGCGAGATGTTAACTACCTCGCCTGGTACGCAGGAGGTCGTGGGTTCGATCCCAACCCTGATGCCTGCTGTATATTTAGAGTTTGCGTGTCTCTCTCTCTCTCATCATCATCACGTTGGCTAGGAGATGTTAACTACCTCGCCTGGTACGCAGGAGGTCGTGGGTTCGATCCCAGCCCTGACGCCTGCTGCTGTATATTTGGTGTTTGCGTGTGTCTCTCTCTCTCTCATCATCACGGTGGCTAGGAGATGTTAACTACCTCGCCTGGTACACACGAGGTCGTGGGTTCGATCCCAACCCTGACGCCTGCTGCTATATATTTGGTGTTTGCGTGTCTCTCTCTCTCATCATCATCACGGTGGCTAGTAGATGTTAACTAACTCGCCTGGTACGCAGGAGTTCGTGGGTTAGATCCCAGCCCTGACGCCTGCTGCTGTATATTTGGTACTCTTAGTTCTTTCAGTAAAGTCACGTAGGTAAAAAATGAAATGAAAATTAATAAAAAAATAAAATAATAAAATCACGACGTTTTGGAGGCAGCACAAGTCTCCGTCATCAGGTGGGACCGTCACAGCCAGATTTGCTGCATCACTTGATGCAGAAAATCTGGCTGTGACGGTCATTTTTTACCTACGTGACTTTACCGAAAGACCTAAGAGTATGAGTCCTTGCAGTCACGAAAGCTTCAAATCTAGAATGTATATTTGGTGTTTGCGTTACTCGCTCCACGTGGCCGTGTGGATTTTTCTCCGGGTCCTTCCGGGTTTGTCCCTCTACAGCTTTTGTGGACCTTTCATTTGTAAAATAAAAATAAGAAATAGTTTAGTTTTTTAATAAAAGCTGCGCGACTACTGTGTGGGTCGGCAGTGGGGAGTGCAGCAAACCCCAATGGTGACCCTACACGTTACCTGCTCTCTCCCACACCCCCATACCGCCCACGTTCACCAACCCACGCTGACCAGCGTGGCGAAGTATGGTCAAAGAAACCCCCCCCCCCTCTCCCCCGACTCATCCAACAGCGGTTCGACGACGACAAAGCAGTGAACACACGCACGCCGTGTGTACAAATAACCGTTTTCGCGCACTTTCAAATTCTCGGCCTGGGCCCCGCTTTTCAAATGGAGCGGTGGGTGTTTGTGATAGCGGCGGCCTGACCTCCCCCTCCTCCCATGTCCTCCTTCTCTCTCGTCCCGCAGTGTCTCAACGTGACGGCTTTCTGAACGCCCTCAAGGACAGCCCTGCGAGATATCCTTTCTGTGGCGTCAACCCACGTGGGCCCCCCCCCCTGACCCCCCACCTCCCGCATCCCCCCCCCCCCCACCTCCACGTCATCTCGACCGCGATTGTTGGCGTGACGCGAAATTGTTGGCCGCGTGCGACAGCAAGTTCCTCCATTGGAACCTCATTTGGCAGTAAAAAATATGATAATTATTTTTGTTACCCTTCTATCTGGCAACAAAACGGACACCTGGCGTCATCTGGTCCAATACCATGTGAGACTAGGCTCTAAGGAAAGCTGTCTCGGGTGTGGACCAATCAACTTCAAGGACAGTGCACATACATTATCAGAGTTATGTTCTTTGTTTGTATTACGACTGCAGGTATTGTGGTCTATGCAAACATGACTCCTTGTAAAAAAAAGGTGTCAGTTTTGTTGCCAGATAGAAGGGTAAAAAACCAATTATCATATTTTTACTGGCAAATGAGGTTCCAATGGTGTAAATGCTTACCCCGAGCTCTCATACTCTGATGGTGCATTGTCTTTGAGTTGTGTGCCTTTTGGCATCATCTGGTCCAACACCATGTGAGACTAGGCTCTAAGGAAAGCTGTCTCGGGTGTGGACCAATCAACTTCAAGGACAGTGCATACATTATCAGAGTTGTGTTTATTGTTTGCATTACGGCTGCAGGTATTGTGGTCTATGCAAACATGACTCCTCGTAAAAAAAAGGTGTCAGTTTTGTTGCCAGATAGAAGGGTAACAAAACAATTAGCAAGTTCTTCGTTTGACGTGCCACAGCCCGAGCAGGAGATGCTGCGTTCCCGCACGGCACCCCGCGCCGCGTGCATTACGTGGCACAAGTAAGTGACTAAAATCGATGCAAATTAGAATCGCATTTGTATGTAAAAATTTGAATCGCGTAACATTCGAATCGTCCCATGGCGGGACAAAGGTCTGAGATGAGGATAGGCCGCCGCGTCACTGTGTTCCTGTATCATTCCGCCGACCGTATCGCCATCGCTCAGCCGGCCAGCTCAAGAAAGTAGTCCGTTGTTGAGCGCTCAGAAACCGCGTTATAACGCGGGGAGGGGGGTGGGGGGGTGCTCTCCGTGTTTATAACGGCGCGTGTTTCCGCGAAACGTGTCCCCGAGTGGAAGAACCACCCATGTTGTGTACGTACGTTCGTGCCGTGGAGAGCAGGGCACCACAGTGGCTAGGAGATGTTGACTACCTCGCTTGGTATACAGGAGGTTGTGGGTTCGATCCCGACCCTGACGCCTGCTGCTGTATATTTGGAGTTTGCGTGTCTCTCTCTCTCCCCAACGTCGCATGGATTTTTTCTCCGGGTCCTCCGGTTTTTCCTTCCACATTTAGAATCCGCATCACCACGCGTTTGGAGTATTCGTCTGCTAGAAATGTCCATGTGATGATAAAAACCACTTTGTTGAGCTATAATTTGTGACCAGGTCGCTTCTGAACTGGACCTTATGTGGAAAAATCCAAAAAGTTTAGTTTGATTTCTAGTTTGAGATGAGAAAGCTCAGATGTGGCGAGCCGGCGGATGAATGTCATCTTAGCGAAGACGTCTCCTTTACGAACGCGCGCGCGGAATAATCCTCATCCGAAGCCCTTCAGACGCAATCTCGTTAGTGCCGAGACATTCCGACGTGGCTTAATTGCGTGAGCCATTTGAGAGGTGGGGGGGCGGGGGGGGGGGCATTGTCCGACACGTTATCATCCCCGGGTTGGGCGGAGCGAGAAGCCTGGAGACTCAGCATGAGCCGCAGCAATCGCAATGGGGGTTGTGTCCAGTGCTGCGCTTATCTCTGGCAGACAAATTAATCCCTCCCGGGTCAACAGTTGAAAGGTAAATATTGCAATGTCAAACACAGATAAAATGGTAGAGTGCAAAGCAGTGAACATTTTATCAAAGTTCGATTTAAAGCTTCTTTCGTGACTGCAGGGGTTCATCTTCTTGGTTCTTTCGGTAAAGTCACGTAGAAGGGAAATAATAAAATAATAAAAATAAAACAATCAAATAATTCTCACAACGTTTCGGCCACAACGCAAGCAGCCATCCTCAGGTGAAGAACAGGTCTGTCGGAAAGACGCCAAATTCTCCTGAGGACGGCTGCTTGCGTTGTGGCCGAAACGTCGTGAGAATTATTTTATTATGTTTTATTTTTATTATTTTATTATTTCCCTTCTACGTGACTTTACCGAAAGAACCAAGAAGATTTTATCAAAGCGTAGAACATTTGGACTTGGCAATATATTTCATGGCATGCGTGCAGTAATACTATGCACGTGTGTTGAACTTCTTTGGAAACGTACGTAGCCAACCCGTGCCAATCGGAGGTGCGGGGGAAGGATAAAAAACTAAACACAAAAAGCAGGTATGAAGAAAAGAGTTTAAATCCACGGCTCCAGTGGCTTCCTAATATCGGAAGGGAAGAGCGTTCCAGACGGCCGCAGAAGCAGCGCATCTGAAAGCGCCGGGCGTGTTGATGCGGTGACCATCGCCTTTGTTCGATGGCTGAGCCTAAAGCCGCTGCTGCCGCTGCGAGGATGACCGGAGTTTGCATGATGATGGTTTATAGCTCCTTTACGAGGTCAGCGAGGTATCGTGGTTCAGTTGCAGAGGTCGCAAACGGGTTTTGATTCCTTACCCGTACCCGTACCCGGCCGCACCAGGGTCGCAAACGGGTACCCGTACCCGTACCCGGCCAGGTACGGGTACCCGTTCCCTACCCGTACACGTACCCTACCCGAAATGAGTGACAAACGGTGACTCACCAGTGACTCACGGCCTACCCGTACCCGGCCGCACCAGGGTCGCAAACCGGTACCCGTACCCGTACCCGGCCGGGTACAGGTTGCCGGGTATCGGGTAGGGTACGGGTATCGGGTACCCGGTTGCGACCTCTGTTCAGTTGTGGCAAGCACTTTGTGTGTAATAGCCAAGGGGATGGAATGCGTCACGAGTAGGATGTCAACTGGGGAGACTGAGCGGGCGCGGTGTGGATTGTTGCGTCGCGGTATCGGGAGGGGGGGGGTGGCATTGGCTTGGGATGGGGGGCGTGGGAGGACTTCATCCAGCAGTGGATTGATCACTTCTGACGACAGCGACGCTCGGAGTCTCCAACCCACTGCTCGGAATTGAAAGCGGAATCCCAATTAGGGTCGGGCGCGTGACATCGGAGGGGAACATCAAACCTCTCAAGGGAGTTGCCGCTGCGAGAGAATGAAATGCGACTCTTCCGCTCGCGAAGTCTTATTTGCTTTGCATATTTATCGCCGCTTGCGATGTGTGCCGACGGCGGTGCCCGTCGCAGTTTCTCTCTCTCCCTGCCTTCCGATGCATTAAATTAAATCCGCGGCAATCTTCACGTTTCGCAAACGACACCGCGGGCCGTTTCGTGGTGACTTCAACGGGCGATTTGTTGCAAAAATCTTGATTTGAAGCTAGCGTGACTGTGGGAATCCATACTCTTTGGTTCTTTCGGGAAAGTCACGTGGGTAAAATTTTTTATTTTTTAAAAGGAGGTTCCTCGTAAATTTTTAACGGGCGACCGCCCACCCCCCCCCAACAAACACTCTGCGCCAGTCCACGGCATTCGCTGTGTGCCCCCCCAAACGGCTCCGCCGTCGGGGGGGGGAGTGGGGGGCTTTGGGCTTTGTTGGCGAGTTTGCTACGAGTCTCTCCACCTCCACCTCCCCCACCACCAGCCTGGTATGCAGGAGCAGGAGGTCGTGGGTTTCATCACGAGCCTGAGGCCCGCTGTGTACTTGGGGTTTGGGTGTTTTCTCCGCAACAGCGTGGTTTTTTCTCCGGGTCCTCCGGTTTCCCCCCCCACAGTTAGAATCGGCATCACCGCGCGTTCAGGGTAGTTGGCTGCTGCTATACGCTTCCACACGATCATTTGCGATAGCCAGGTTGCTTCTGAAAAAGAGCCAGGCCTTACCTGGTAAAAATAAAAATGTTTTAGTTTAGTAGTTTAGTTTGTCTGTATCTGTCACGGAGATAGAATTTTTTATGTTTTTGTTTAAAGGAGGTTCCTCGTAAATTTTAAACGGACGACCGCCCCATCCTCCCCCCCCCCCCCCCCCAACAAACACTCTGCGCCAGTCCACGGCATTCGATGTGCCCCCCCAAACGGCTCCGCTGTCGGGGGGGGGGGGGCGGTGGGGGGCCCCCTTGTACTTTGTTGGCGAGTTCGCCGCGAGTCTCTCCCCCTGGTGTTGGTGGCCTTGACCGCGACGGGGGCCGCACTGTGCTGGAAGCGGTCGTCTGTTTCTTCTCCGTGTGGTCGATCATCGGACTGTCGGGGTTCCACACCTACCTGGTGGCCTCTAACCAGACCACCAACGAGGACGTGAGTGGCACGCCGCACTCCACCACCACACTCCACCACCACACTCCACCACCACACTCCACCACCACGCTGAGCTACCCCACTCCACCACGCCGAACTACCGCACTTCACCACCACACCGAACTACCGCACTCCACCACACCGAACTACCACACTCCACCACCACACTCCACCACCACACTCCACCACCACACCGAACTACCACACTCCACTGCACCTCCGATTTAGCACGATTGGCTACGTACGGTACGAAAGAAGTTCGGCAAACATTCATTAAGATGAACAATTACCGGCTCGGCGCAACGGACGGCTTTGAGGTGTTCCGCAAGCGGCCGCCCTCCCCCGCCACCTGACCTGCACCCCGCCCTCTACCCCATGGCTACCTCGCTTTCATCGCCGCACCTGCTGTATCGCCCCCCCCCCCCGACAACCCGAACCACTAAATGACAGCACCGGTGAACGTACCGTGTCCCATATGTGTGTGTGTATATAAATGTAACGTAACGTTATTATTTTCATTATCAGAGTTGCTTCTTTTGGTTTGTTTTTTTGACGGCGTGTGTTGTGGTTATTGCAAACATGATGCCTTGAATAAAGGTGTCAGTTTTGTACCAGTTTAAAAGGGTAAAAACCTACTACTATATTTTGCCACTGGTAAAAGAGATGTCTCATAGTGTAAATGCTTAACCCGAGCTCTCAATACTCTGATATTGCACTGTGTTTGAGTTGTACGCCTTCTGGTGTCATCTGGCCCTACACCAATGGGGACTAGGCTCTAAAGAAAGCCGTCTCGGGTGTGGACCAATCAACTTCAAGGACAGTGCATATTATTATCATTATCAGAGTTGCTTCTTTTTGTTTGCTTTCTTGACTACTTGTGTTGTGGTTATTGCAAACATGATGCCTTGAATAAAGGTGTCAGTTTTGTACCAGTTTAAAAGGGTCAAAACCTACTACTATGTAACGTTAAAGTTTACAAACTTTCAGCCGTCCTCTGCTTCGTCCCACGTGTGTAGATCAAGGGCTCGTGGTCGAGCAAGCGAGGGAAGGATGTCTACAACCCGTTCAGCCACGGCAACGTCTTCTCCAACTGCTGCGCCGTGCTGTGCGGCCCCCTGCCTCCCAGGTATGCCGACCCTCCGCCTACCGCCCCCTCCACCTCCCCCACCACCACCACCAGCCTGGTATGCAGGAGCAGCAGGAGGTCGTGGGTTCCATCGCGAGCCTGAGGCCCGCTGTGTACTTGGGTTTCATCTTCTTGGTTCTTTCGGTAAAGTCACGTAGAAGGAAAATAATAAAATAATACAAATAAAACATAATAAAATAATTCTCACGACGTTTCGGCCACAACGCAAGCAGCCGTCCTCAGGTGGAGAACAGGTCCGTCGAGAAGACAGCGTCTGAATGAAACACCCCAAGAACAGGTCTGTCGAGAAGACAGAGTTCTGAATGAAACACTCCAGGCTTTCAGACTGTCTTCTCGACAGACCTGTTCTCCACCTGAGGACGGCTACTTGCGTTGTGGCCGAAATGTCATGAGAATTGTTTTATTATGTTTTATTTTTATTATTTTATTATTTCCCTTCTACGTGATTTTACCGAAAGAACCAAGAAGATGAATCCCTGCAGTCACGAAAGCTTTAAATCGAAATGTGTACTTGGGGTGTTTGGGTGCTTTCTCCGCGACAGCGTGGATTTTTCTCCAGGTCCTCCGGTTTTTCCCCCCCACAGTTAGAATCGGCATCACCACGCGTTCAGGGTGGTTGGCTGCTGCTCTACGCTTCCACACGATCATTTGTGATGGCCAGGTTGCTTCTGAAAAAGAGCTAGGCCTTACCTGGTAAAAAATAAATGGTTTAGTTTAGTAGTTTAGTTTGTCTGTATCTGTGTGCCTGTGTGGGTAGTGTAGTGGTTAGCGCGCTACGCTACAAACCCGGCGACCCGAGTTCCATTGCCGCTCGTGGCCAAGACCGGTAACGATTATCTGAACCGGTCCTGGGCCTCCCTTAGGTCGACTCGGCCTCAAATGAGTACCTGGTGTGGTGTGTAAACATTGCCACTGGGGAGACAAAGGCGGTCGGGCGTGGTGCTGGCCACCCACCCCCTTGTGTGCCGTGTTGGCCTTCATAGGGTGCTCTCTAAAAGCACTTGCCCCAAAAGTCTATGAATGCTATACGGGGGATCTTTGTATTTGTCTTGTCTTAAGTCTGTGCGTGTGTGTCTCTATCTGTGTGTGTTTGTCTATGGTGTAGGCCAATCCGTTTCAAAGACAATGCATATGTTATACACTATGTAACACGATTTTTGTTCCTGGGTAGTAAGCGTTATTCTTTTAATTGCCTATGCCTCAAAAGTACAGAAAGTGGCTATTATTATTTCCCACAAACTTTGCTTTGGTGACCAGGACTTTACGTGAAGGAATGACACAAATGCACACCGCGTTTTCTCATTGATGATAGGTACATTTCAAAATATCACTGTCCTGGTCACAAAAGCAAAGTTTGTGGGGAGTAATAGCCATTTTCTGTACTTTTGAGGCATAAACAATTAGGAAATAACACTTACTACCCAGGAACAAAAATTAATGTTTTTGTTACACAGTGATTAATTATCGGAGCATGTTTGTTTGCACGTTTTTGCCACGAGTTTGTGTGGGTTAATGCAGAAACTTGATGCCTTGCAAAAGGTTTCGATTTGGTGTTTGAGCATCTTCACACCTCCCTTGTTATTGCTAGGTAGGGTAAAGCCTTTTCTTATTTTAGATCCTGGCAAAAAAGTCCCATAGATATGTGTGCCCTGTGTAAATATACATGTGCCCGTATGTGTGCGTGTCTGCGCGTGCGTGTGTGGTTGCGTGTGTCTGTGTGTGTGCGTGTGTTTGTGTGCACGTGTCTGTGTGTGCGTGCATGTCTGTGCGTGCGTGTGTGATTGCATGTGTCTGTGTGTGCGTGTCTGCGCGTGCGTGTGTGGTTGCGTGTGTCTGTGTGTGTGCGTGCGTGTCTGTGCCTGCGTGTGTGGTTGCGTGTGTCTGTGTGTGTGCGTGTCTGTGCGTGTGCGTGTGTTTGTCTCAATCAGCTTAATTGACCGGCGAGGAGAGATCGAGGAGGACGCCTTGAAGACGGTCGCCGTTCACAACGGCCTCAACACCTCGGGCTCCTCGAGCTCCCAGCCTATGGTAGGCCCCGACGCGTAGCGGCGTCCTGCTGTGCCTGCAAAATCATCCTCGTGGTTCTAATATTCTTACTTAACATCGTCCAATTGTATCTTTTGTTCGTCGTCGTCGTTGTTATTATTTGCATCCTTTAATTTTTTTTTTATTTGATTTGATGACTGGACAAATCGAATTCACTGGACGTTTTTATTTTTTTTTAAACCACGCCACCACCATGCTTCGTGAAACGGAAACAAATCCCACCGACGTTTTAATTTACCCGTCGCTCCGACTCTCCTACCCGCCCGCGGCGTTTGCGTCGCGCCGTGTATATTTATATATATACACACACACACGCTTGTTGTTCGTCGGTATTTCACAATTAATTTTAAATCACTGAAGTTGTGGTCTGGGTTGGTGGGCGCGGGATGGGTGGTGGCGGGGGGGGGCGGCGGTTTGGTTGGCGTTTTAGAGAGAGCGAGAACGCCGTGTGCGCACTTTGAACCCAGTCACCGCTCCGTCGTGTCGCCCCTCTCTCGCGAGCGGTTTTCGTGATGTGCTCGGTGATCTCGTGACCCCCGTCGGAGAGTCTCGTGCGAGTTTGGCCGGCAGCGGGGGCGGCGCGTGCCTTTCTAGAGCGAGACGAGCGAGAAACTCACCCCCTCCCTCCCGCCTCCCACCTCCCACCCCAGCACGCAAGAGGCCTTTGGTGACGTCCGTTAGGATTTGTACAAAGTGATTTATTAATTGGATTCTGTATCATTTTAGAGTGCGTAAGAAACGCGACGTCCTGAAATATAAATGTGTCGTTAAACCTGCCACCACGACACACATTTACGTGATCTAACCCAAAAACTTTTATTATGGATAATATTGGTAGCGAAAGCCTACGTGTTTAACCATATATTTTTTGGTCCCAGTGTGTGGCGTCAATCGTGCGATGGGAACATAATCGGGACGAACAATTGCCGTTTGATCTTAATTTTGGAGCTTTCGTGACTGCAGGAATTGTTCTTTGGTTCTTTCGGTAAAGTCACGTATAATGATAAAATAATAAATGAAATAATAGCATACTACGACGTTTCGATTGCAACACAAGCAATCATCATCAGGTATAAAAGAAATAGCAACAAAAATCTAACCAGAAAACGATAGACAGACATCTAAGTCTGATTGCTTGTGTTGCAATCGAAACGTCGTAGTATGCTATTATTTAATTTATTATTTTATCTTTATACGTGACTTTACCGAAAGAACCGAAGAATAATTGCCGTTTGGTTTGTCTCTGACCAAATCGCCCCCAACGAGCTCGTCGGATCTCAAGATCTCATTGTACTGTACGTTGAAATTCGTTGGCCCCCTACGTAGCCTAGCCGTGCTAATCGCAGGTGCGGGCAAAGGACAACAAACTAAACACAACAAGCAGCTCTAAGCGTGCGTCGAGCTCTCACGGAATGATTATTGCGCGTGACATTTTTTGTTGCAACGATGCGTAACCGTCGCGTGCTGTTGTAGACTGGGCGAGAGAGCCACCCACCTCCCCCCCCCCACACAACCACCACCCCCACCTGCCCCCCCCCATCCTATTTCTCTGCCGTTCGTTCCAGAACCATCCTACTAATCACCGCTAGGGTTTGCCGCTATATGGAGACGCAACGGTGCGTCGCACGGCGTAAACACCACGATCATCGCATCAACGTTCGTTCGGCAAAATATCGTTTTCTCGTGATTATCGACACTCGTTTAATTTATATTTTGTGTTTTACATCCTGATCCACATATGTACGATTTCGCAAACATGGTCATCAAAGTTTTCAATATTTAGCTGTAAGCCGTTGACTTTTGGCTTAAGTGATGGCGTGATGGTCATGTGACATCCTCAATTTTAGCGTTGTGGATCTTTTAATTGTTTCTGTTTTTAACTGGCAGCAATGAAGGCTTTTGTAAATGTTACCGATCGCAAAAAAGTCGCCATAATTCGAAGACTCGTGTTGTGTTAACATCAGCCGAGGAACCTTTTTAAGTTGTCATCACGCACACTGGGAGCACAGCAACGCACAAAAACAGGACTCAAATACGTAAAAAATCGCGTGACAAAATTATCCGAAATTGAAGCCGCGATAATCGGCGTGTCGTGAAATTGTACAGCGTGGAAATCCGACTAATCGGAGACGACCGAACACATTTTGCACGGCGCAGTGCCGGAGCGTGCGATTGGCTGGTTGGCCACCGGTGGTGGGGGGTGGCGGGGCTTGCGGTTGCACTTGGCCCACTGTTTGCATCAGCGGGAATTGTGGGTAAATTGATGCAGGTGCATGCTGGGAAAGCTTAAAGCCGTTGGCTTAGATACACCCGACGCACGCAGCTGTTTGTGAGATTCGTTTGGTATTTTTTCTTTGGCCACTAGATACCAAATCGTTTTTGTCGTTAAAATTTTTATTCACTGAAATGTAATCCAATAGTACGTATTTGGTCGTCTGGCACGAACACTTTAATGGTTTAAAGATAGGTTAATCTGTGTGACATCTGCAGCAGAACATTGTGTCCCCGGCAGCCTTAATGCCAGATTTCACTGGTTTTCGTAAAAAAAAAAAAATCTAATTCCATTTTTGCTGTTGCTTGAAGTATAACGGACGTAACGGACAAAGCGAGCAGTTCTCGCCTTGTCGAGGTCTCCTCGGCTGCGTGGTCCTCCGTGCTGCCAAGACTGCGGTTGGGGAGGGATGCTGCGTTTAATGAGAAAGAAAGAAAAGTAATAAAATAATAAAAATAAAACAATAAAAAATAATTCTCACGACGTTTCGGCCACAACGCAAGCAGCCGTCCTCAGGTGAAGACCAAGTCTGTCGGGGAGACAGATAGGTTAATCTGTTTTATTTTTATTATTTTATTACTTCCCTTCTACGTGACTTTACCGAAAGAACCAAGATGAATCCCTGCAGTCATGAAAGCTTTAAATCGAAAAGAGAAAGATAGACTTGGGAAAGTCACTTTCGGGTTCGGCAGCAGCAGCAGCAGCGACGTCGCATCGCAGTCGTCTTCCTTGAGACGCTTGGCGGCGGTGGGCACGTCTGGAGCGATTTTCGGTGGGGCGCTCCTGAAAGTCGATTGGAAAGTCGTTGCGATCGTCGGAGGAAGCATCAGACTTTGTGCCCACGAGCGTGTCTCTCTCCAGTGCCTCTTTTCTCCGTTGGGCAAGCGTCTAAGTGCAAGCGGAACGGGTGGTTTTTCCACTGCCTATTTTTGTTGTGCCGATGCGGCCCCTTGGAGGAGACATCCGAGTCTGGGTTGGGGGGCCATGCGGGGCCACTGGTCGGCACGGGGTGGGGGGGGGGGGGGATAAGAGACTCGGTCTCTGCGCGTGACGTCGGCGGCACGGCTCGGTTGGTTTCTGCAGTGGAAAAACAACCTGGGGGCTTCCTGAGCCGCAGCGGGCTGGGTGTGTGTGTGTGTGTACGTTGAACTTCTTTCGCGCCGTACGTAGCCAGCCGTGCTTCATCGGACGTGCGGAGAAAGGCCATGGCATGGTTTGGCACGACACGGCACGGCCCGGGAAAGCCTGGCCCTAGCGCAGTTCAGATGTGCAAGTGGAAATCAAGAGTTTACAGCATAAGAGCTGGGGATGTTCGTTTTAAGCAAAACAAATTAACTCGGGATAATGTTTCCTTAAAGAGGGTTGCAATAGCTAACGGGTGAATGACCTCCTTCCTGAAGCCCCCAGGCCCAGTCAGCCAAAAAACATCGGTGTTCTCACCTCCCGTGACCAAAAAACAAGAGTGAAAAAAATCCCCGTTCCTATTTCCATTTTGTATAAACCCATTCGGTCAGCGTCGCCGAATCGCCCAGAATGTGCCCGACATCGCCAGATCGTGGAAGCTCCGTGGGGTTGAGCGTTAATTCTAGATTTGAAGCTTTCGTGACTGCAAGGATTCATGCTCTTAGTTTTTTCGGTAAAGTCACGTAGGTAAAAAAATTCAATTAAAATTAATAAAAATAACCTAATAAAAATCACGACGTTTCGGAGGCATCAGGTGGACCGTCACAGCCAGATTTGCTATTTTTATTCATTTTAGTTTCATATTTTTTACCTACGTGACTTTACCGAAAAAACTAAGAGTTTGAGCGTTAATCTTTGCGCCTTTACGGGCGTGGCTGCCCTGCGCGAAAGACAGGTGCCACAGCCTCCGCAGAGGGCATTGCAGCAGAATCCATTGCTGCTCTGCACTCAACGCAACAGTTTTTTTGTTATTTTACCAGGTCAGGCCCCCGATGACCTACGTAGCTCCTTTTCAGGAGCGACCTGGCTTTCACAAACGATGTTTTTTCTTCATTTTAGCGCACGGCTATTGGAAGCGATCTCAAACTGAAGTAGCCGCCCTCTTCTTGGCTTTGCGCAGCCGCGTGAAGTTTTCTCCACTCGACACATTCATCAGTAACGCCGCCCTCGGAGGATGACAGTGTATGATAAGGCCACGGAGCGGATTATCATTTGGGACTGGCTGTTATAGCTTTCCCAGTTTCAAACGGCAAGTGATGAATTGGTGAGCCGAACAATTACTTTGTAGACTTAAAGCTTTCGCGACTGCGGGAATTCATGTTCTTTGGGTCTTTCTGCAAATTCTAGATTTGAAGCTTTCGTGACTGCAAGGATTCATATTCTTAGGTTTTTTCGGTAAAGTCACGTAGGTGAAAAAATTCTAATTTTTATTTAATAAAAATTAGAATTAATAAATAAGAAATAAAAATAAAAATCACGACGTTTCGGAGGCAACACAAGCTTCCAACGTTCCACCTGAAGACGGAGGCTTGTGTTGCCTCCGAAATGTCGTGATTTTTATTTTATTTTCATTGAACTTTTATTAATTAAAATTTTTTACCTACGTGACTTTACCGAAAAAACCTAAGAATACGGAAGCTTGTGTTGCCTCCGAAACGTCGTGATTTTTATTTTATTTTTATTTTACTTTTGTTAATTAAAATTTTTTACCTACGTGACTTTACCGAAAAAACCTAAGAATATCTTT